TGTTCATTTATTTATTTATATGTAAGAAGTTATTTCATTAAATGTGATTAAGGTAATTTTCTGCGTGTGAATCCAATCGCTGCACGTTTACTGAGCAACGCAATGACATTCTGGTCAAAAGGAACGAAGAAAGCGCTCTTTCTTGTCCATGAGGTTGGTTTTTAGAAGATGATTTATAAAATTCACCTTAAAATTGTTCCTGAGAAGATTTAGATAAAATGATGATAATGAAATGAACAATAAATTGAAGGGTTATTTCGGTGCGGTGGGTTGTTTGGATAAATTAGTAGATGTTACCGAAATGCGACGAAGATTACGTCGTGCTCGTGAGAATATGAAGTTGAATGAACAACAAGCAACATCACCAGTAATAGCGAACTGCGATGATAGTTCGTTGAAAGTACAAACAAACAACAGTAGTATTACAAATATCACTGTTTCAACCACTAATCCATATACTGCAATTCCTTAAAAACCATCATAACCGCCTCTGAAAGCCGGCGGCGATTTTGCTCAAACTTGCTCATAGTTACCGTATTTTATTATACGATTGTTCATTTGTTTTTTTCTTTGATTTCTTGAGCCAGTGATATTTTTATGTTATTAGGAATTATTCTCGATGAATAAATATGTGTCATTGTTTACGCAGGAAGTGAATCAATTTTTTGAATTGGTTGGTTCAGTTTTTCTTATAATTGCTTCATTGTGTTTTGAAATCGTTTTGAGTGGCATTGTTTTTGTTGTTATTGTTGTTATTTTAGTTGCCGTTGTGGCAACTTTTTTGTATGCTTGAAGAAAGTGAGTTACTGTTTGTTCGTTTGTTCATATGCATTTTTTATTCACATTTCGTATTGTAAAATCTTTATGAGGTTACAATTTTTATTATTGCTTGTTTGATTTTTCATTTTAGTTGTTTACTTTCGGAAATATTTTCTCATACTAACGTCAATATGTGAAAATTTGAATCATGTATCGTATCAAAATATGTCGCTTACCGACCCGATGAGTCTATTGACGAATCGGACTGTTAAGTGGGTTCTACCTTGGTCGTTTTCTTTGTCTGTCTCCATTTTTATTATTTATTGGTAGCGTTTTTCAATAACAATTTTTGTACGTTTGTTTATTTGTTGTTTTGTGAGCATTATTTGGTGCTACCATATTTCCTTTTTAGTGTTAAAACACATGTGATGGATCATTATTTGCATCGAAACCGGGATGTTTCATTGGATTGAATCAGTTGAATTATTTGTTCGAATGTAATCATCGGATGACAGTCGTTGTTAGCCGGTTGTACTACCCACTGAGCACGTCTCCGATGAGTCGAATGTTTCTTAGTGACTCTTGCCACGCGCGTTCAAATTTACGATCAGATTTCCTTTGCTCCCATTGTTATGACAGCAGCAAGAGAAGTTCACACTTCATTTTGTCAATACTTTTTGCCCATCGATTATGTTATTTATAAACTTTCAAGCATGCCACCAACAATAAATTAACGTGCTGTTTGTGCGATATTACGCATTTGATGCAGGATGGCTTGCTTGAATTGATGCGATATTAATAACATAAAGGTAATTGCGTGCATGTAGTCGTATGCTGTTTCGCACCCGGTTACTTCAGTTATATTTTCTAATTAGAAATGCGTACCTATCATGACTGCTACTTTTTACTGAGCGTAAATTCATGTATTTATCTACGTACATGTGCTTTTAAACGGTCGCTTTTAACACTTCCGTGATTAGAAATTTTGGTGAATTTTCTCCTCCATTTTCATCTTAATTGATTACTACTTCATGGTGATTCCTGATATTGTAATATATTTTTACGTCGTGATGTTAATAGTTTTATTATTGTTATTATTATTATTGTCATTTTTTGAAATAATTCGTCGTAAAAGTTGACATTCTTGAATAAAACGACTATGCATCAATGAATCAAAACAATGTCATGAATTGCTCACGTCTACATAACAAAAGAACGATAGACTGAAAGGTTTATTCCTCAAAGCTGAATAAACAATACAAAGTAAGGAACGAAACTGCATTATTATCAGATATGAACAAACAGGAAACGAATAAAATTTAAACAATATTTCTAAGTTTCACATCTCAGATTATAACCAGTCTTATGATGATCATCCAATCGGTGTTCTGAATCCTCATAATTTCCATCCAATACTCTTAAATCATTTAAAATATCTACTTCAGATAACGCGTAGTTCACTTGTTGTGGATTTTTTGCGCGCATACGCTTTTCACTGAATGGTGTCGGTTCGTTTGGGCGTCTGAAATGAGTTATAATATTACTATTATTGGCTATTTCTAGTAACGATAAAACTTTTGTAATAAAAGTACCACCAGAACAAACCTTCTCAAACTTTTTTTATTAACAGGATATGAATAAAACGATGCACTATTGATGTCAGCATTATGAAATTCATGCTCGATATGTTTCCTATTTTCGTCACATTCCTGAATCATCGTATCCATCAATTCTGCTAGCCTTTCCTCTAATTCCTTATCCGCAGCCTCTTGTTCACGTTCGTATTCTGCTATGATACGCTCATTTTCCAACTGAAGTTTATTTTACACGATAATTAATATCAATAGACTCATAACAATGTACAGTTTAAGGTTGTACAAAAACTTTGCAAAAGCAACATTAAAAAGCATCTAGGAGAATAAGATAAATAAATGCACCTTTTCTGAGGTCTCCTCGAATTCAAGTTCTTCCTTGTATGCAGCATCAAGTTTTTGGACAGCGGCTAAATATTTTGGGTGGCGAAATTCACGCAACAACTGCAGTTCGGCTTTTAGCTCTTGTATTTTAGTCTTATAATACCTAAACAAATAAGCACAAATAATAAAAACAATCACTAGATTCCGATGATAATAACAATGATAATTTAACAGTGAACAAGTCTGAGTAGTAAAATTGGTATGAATATTGATCAAAAATGAGTATACCTTTCCGTGAAGGTTGTTAAATCCCCTTTGTCTGTAGAAGAAATATCCTGGTGTTGAGAAGCGGAAGCTCCGATCCCAATACTACTATAACTGGTACCACTGCGGATATCATCCATTCATTCGGAAATCCGTACAATACAAAACTTAAGAGCCCTAAGATGACATTTGCAAAACAGCAAAAATTTTTAACTATCATAAAAACACTAAAAATGTTAGTATTGGATCACGTATCAAGTGTGTGCAAAATCGCCAGTAGATATCTCGGCATTTGTTCAGAGGAAGAGCAAAAAAAGTGAACGAGCGATTTCCCGTCTCATTCATCGTAGTTGTACGTAATTCACGAGTTCGAGTCCCGCTCATGACGGGAAGGTTTGCTCGACATATCAACATAAGCTACTTACTTTCAAACAAAATATAATACACAAACACCTTTTATCGAATACTGCAGCACAGGTAATTAACATTGACTCAATTCAGTTATCTAGTTGTTCACGCTATTGCCTTTACAGTAACTGCAATGAGTGCTATTATTCTAAAAAACACAACACAAAGATAACAATGATAGTTAATAGTAATGGAGATAATTTATAACACTCACATTTTTGCTAGCATAAATCTCATTTGCATGATCCTTATCTCATTTATCCGTCTTGAATCATTCTAATAATATAAATAATTAACGTATATCTCAGCTGTATCACTCCTCCTGCCTGTTATGTTTCGTAATAAATAATAATAGAATATATTATAATAAATAACAATAATAATAGAAATGCATTCGAATCTTCTCTGATACATATCAGTTACAATCTGAGATCTGTTATCAGTTATTATTATTATTAATATCGCTACTCCTCTACAAACATGCTAAAGCACAGATTCAAGCGTACGTCTACTAATTGCGTCACAACTAATGAATCTTAATAAATACAGCTCCACCCCACACTACACACAGCTTATTTCAATTCGTTTCACAGTTGATTCGACGTATTACAATTGAAATATGTTCGCTCTGAACATTTACTCAGTATTGCGCTTCATTTCGATCGCTTATTTGCTACAGTTGATTGATTGATGGACACATTGAAGTTTGGATTCAAATCTTCTTTGATATATATCACTTATTTAGTAACAATCCACAATTGTGATCCTAACATTCTCGCATTTTGTTCTTTCGTTTTGCCGCACGGCAGGCCGTCATTTTCCTATCTCATTCGCCAAGTGATTACTTCAGAAGGGAATCAAAAAGTTGATTGATTCAGTAATCAAGAAGTTCATTGTCAGTAACTAACCTGTGGTATCGAAGAACTTGCATCCTTGTGATCAATCAGCAGTTTTGTGATACGAAAGAAACAAGGAAAAAAATCAGTCGAAAGTAATTTGTCTATTTCCCTCTGATATCCTCCAGTTTCTCGTAGATGACGATTTTCTTTTCTCAGTCACATGTTATTATTATGTAAGATTCGGTTATGTACCCAAAATACAACCCATAGAATCTACTGCACATCAAAAATGTTTTATCAGAAATTGGTACATTACAAATCTGTTGAACTTTATCGATTGTTTATTCTATTGATATTGTTTTCTGTACAAAACAATATGTTCGATTGCATTCCGAGTGTTGGCTTTTATTCATTCAATAAACTTGAAATGTTATTCTTTTTTTTCCGAACTGACCTGATATAATTTAGTTCAGTCTACCATCTATCACGCTTTCATTTATACGAGCGTGTAAATTTCATATTATGTTTTGAGATAGACAGATACATAGATGGATAGATGGACTGATATAGATAGATAGATAATGAATATAACTTACATGAAATAGTCAAATTAATTAATAAATAAACTAAATGAGATAATGTTGGATGGCTATAGGAAATTTTCATTAGAAAATGTGTGTGTGTGCTGGAAATGTTGAAACGCACCTATTTAATTGGTTATTCTTATTATAAGATGTATACAGCACTTGTTCGATTCACTCTCATCAATTATTAGATTATTCGTATGGCAAGAGTAATTGCGAATTAATATTATTTGTTCATAGATATGGATAATGAGCAAACTTATTAACAACTCTCTTCCTCTAATTCATTAAGTTTCTCGTTTCAATTCATCCCGTAATAACACTGATATTAATCTTTATTATTGTTATTATTATTATTATTATAATTATGATTATGATTATTATTATTATCATTATTATTATTATTATTATTATTATTATTATTATTAGCATTATTATTATTATTATTAAGTAATAATAATAATAATAATTATTATTATTATTAATCATTTCCATTACCATCCACAATATGTATCACATTCATATGAATGAATATACATGAGCACATTATTCATTCATTTCTCATTCAAACATACACACATTCATAAATTTAGCAAATTAACTTCAACACAGCAAACAGCTCTTAGTGGTGCTTCAGTTTAATTTATTTAATAGCAAAACTAATCTACGTAAATTAGAATTCATTCATGTTTATCTTTCACTTCTTGTTCGTCTTCATTTCAAAATGAATATGTGCTTATCTACCTGTATAATAAGTTTATTTATTTATTCATTCATTTATTCAAACTACATCACTGTATTTAATTTAATATATTTTATGTGTGTGAGTGCTACTCGAACACATATCTATTCATCACTTCTCATTTTGTTCATTACATCTAATTATATACATATATTGCTCGTGCCTATTCGTTGCCAGCTTCATTCTTATTTATTTCATCAATCACGTTTCCGTTTGAGGTTAGCGCTGTTTTCCCTCTTTGCTACCACATTTGACTTATTATTGTTACAAGTGCATCATTATTTCCGTCGTGTTATTATTAGTAAAATTGCTATTGTTATTAAAATTAGTTTGTGTAAAGGGTCATTTTCCTTCAGGTAATCTTTCTTTTGTGGTTGGTGTCTGTTGTAGATGATGAGTAATGGAACTTAGTTGTTTATCAGATTATGTAATATAAGGTGTGTGAATACCGTCTAGTGAGCAGAACTACTCATAGCAACATTTGTGCACTGTTTTAGTACTTCTTGAAAATTTCTTCTTCATTTATGATCCTTTTTTGCACAATAACTTCTAAGGTTACACCAATTCCATGTGTGTGATCTCCGCTATTAGAGACCCTATATAAAAATGGAAACCGACATTTTTTCGATCGCCACCGATAAAGTAAGTTTTGAGCGTCATTCAATTTCGATCAGTAGTCACCGAAATTCGGTTCGCCTTGATCACCGACCGATCGTACACTTTTGATTCCAGGTGATGATTATCGGCCCAACTTTAGTCCTATATACTAAATCGTTGTTTTTTCTCCAAAAAATTCAGTATTGCCGGATACTTCGCCACCGAAATTCATGACCAAACCACCACCCACGTAAGGGTCTTAACCCAAAGCTCAAGAAGCATTACTGCCTTCAATTTTAGCTCCATAAATTGTTACTGACCGTTCTATCTTCCCTTCTCTTCATTCACATTCTTCTCCAAATATGATCTCTAACCCGTGCTGACCGATTGTCATAACCTGATCTTATCGACAAATCCGAGTAGCATTATCCGATAGCCTCGTTCTATTCTTCATTCCTCATTTCCCGTCGTCGTCGATCTATATTGGAATTCCCACATTCCTCGCAACCTCTTCCATAATTGAACCTTTCTATTCTAAACGTAATTCAGATTCTCAAGAATCTTTTCTGCGTTCGTTACGAATAAAGCCTCGAGAAGAATTATAGACACTACCAGTGATAATAATGGCAATATCTTGCATAACCACTTTTGCGCTTCTTTATCTCTCGATCGTTTTTCTTTATTTTTTCGCCATCAGCATCAACGATAAAATGAGTAACGCTTTTAGTTATGTAAGGTATGAGCGAAAAACGTATATGTAAATATAATTGAGAATGGAATATGACATTGCTCATTTGATAAGTGAACGTTTAAAAGAATATAATAGATTGTTAAGACTCACGCAATAAGAGAATTACATCATTTAGTCTTAATTAAAAAGTCTTCGCTTTCATCATCATCCTCTTCAGGCTAACTGTAACTGAAGTCGAACACATAAGATTGTTTACGTATGAGTACAAACTTATGTTCGAATATTTCATTAGGATTTTGCATATACTAAACGTTTACGACATTTAATATAGCGACATTAATGGTGATTACTTAATTTACTTGCTAGTTAGTCAGTATACATCCATCAGTTGTTCTAATAAGTAAATATGCATGCAGATGGTTCTAGACTTGCTCAATTGAAAATGGATGGATGAATAAAGAGAAGTTATGAAAAAATGTTCTCACTAGACATTATTTCATCCATTTGTTTAATATCGTTTATCGTTTAATGAACGTTCTGATTATTTTTAGAAAATCTTTTGAATATCCGTGTTTCTCGTTTTTCATACCAGTATTGTTGGAGACAGTATTACAAGGACAAATGCATCTGCATATAACTTGGAGATTTGTTTGAATAGTGAGTATGATGGTGAAATTATTTCTGTGAATTATTATTATTTCATAATTGATGCAAGAGTGTCATTGATTTTACAGTTGTCTAAGTGATTATTGATAATAATAATAATAAAATTAGTGGTAAAAAAATAATAAATAATATACAATAATAATGGTAATAATAACGACAACGCATTACTGACATCCCATCAAGCAAAATAAGAATGGAAGACATTATCTGTGCGGCATGTTCATCACATATTCGAGATCGTTTCATGCTTCGTGCTCTTGGTAAATTATGGCATGAGGATTGCTTAAAGGTAAAGAATTGCTTTTATTTATCCACTTGTTATTTCACCTATCAATTCGAACGAAACATTTGATTGATTGAATTGCTATCATGTCATACCATATCACATCCGTATATTTAATATT